GTATCATTGTATCTTTTTGTGTGTAATGTTATCTTTTGCTGCTGCTGCTGCTGCTGCTGCTGCAGCAATAGAAGCAAATACATACTGTGGTGTCTGCATGCATATATAATTATATTTATATTTATTTATTTATATATTTATATTTATATTCTGCTGTACGCATGCATGCATGCATGCATGCATGCATGCATATACATTATTTGTAGAGTGCTGCTGCTGCTGCAGCCTGCCAGTCTGCAGGCAGCAGCAGCGGCAACAGCAGTAGTGGCAACAGCAGCGGTCGCTGCTGCTGCTGCTGCAGCAACAACCTTTGTTGCTGCAGCAGCTGCTGCAGCAGCAGCAGCAGCAGAATTCTTCATGCACAGTTAACTATAAGAATTGATTAAGAGAACAAACCTCTCTTGTATACAGAAGCTAGGGTTTAGGGTTTAGGGTTTAGGGTTTAGGATTGGGTAGTGGTAAGTATTATCATATATAAGGGTTTCTTTAGGGTTTAGGGTTTACAGTTTAATTTGCAGTGTATAGGCAGTATTATATTCCCTATAAACCCTTTTTTAGGGTTTAGGGTTTGTCTTATGCCAGTAGCTAACACCAAATAAACAGAAAAGAATTTGCATGCATTGTATGCATGCATGCATGCATCTTCAGCAGCAGCAACTGCAGCAGCAGCAACAGCAACAGCAACAACACAAGTAAGGAAGTAGTTGTTTATCCTCTCTTTTCTTCTTCTATTTGTTGTTTATATTTAGTTGTTAATTAAATAAATAATTTAAGTTTGCTCTTCTTATTTTTGTTTTTTCTTGTTTAGGGTTTAGGGTTTAGGGTTTACCGAAACCCTAAACCCTAATTTAGGGTTTAGGGTTTAGGGTTTAGGGTTTAGAGTATATTATATACCGCGCCGTGCATGAGCACGTCCTCTTGTATGAGGAAAAAGACTAAAAAAAGAATTAATTAATTATTTTTTATAAATAAAAGAATATAACAATAAAAAAAGAAGAAAAATAAAAAAAAATAAAATATAAATAATTAAATAATCTCTCGGGTGTATAGGCAGCTCAATATAGAGGGGAAAGGATGACGACCTACAAGAGGTATTTTTATGCAATTAATTAATAAATTAATTAAATATAATTAAACAAAATTAATTAAATATAATTAATTTAATTTAATTAAATAAAATATACAAAAAAAAGGACAAAAAGAAGAAGAAGAAGACCGTCAATAGGTTGGTTTCTGCACGTGCAATATTTACAGGGCTGCATGCAGCTGCAGCGGCAGCAGCAGCAGCAGCTGCTGCGGCTGCAGCTGCTCCTGTTGCTGCGAATCTTTTTTTTTGTACAAACTTTGCTCTATTTAAATATTATTTTTCTTTTCTTTTCTTATACCCCTGATCAGTGTGCCTAAGGGCGCATGCTGCAGCTGCTGCAGCAGCATGCGCAGCAGCAGCAAAATAAACAAGAGCAGCAGCAGCAGCAACAGCAGCAGCAGCAATAGTAGAAGAAGCAGCAACAGCAGCAATAGCAGCATAAACCAGGAGTGTATACAACCAGCAGCAACAACAGCAAGGAGAAGATGGACCCCAGCAACAAATCCGATCCCGCTGCAGCAGCAGCAACACCAGCAGCAGCAACACCAGCAGCAGCAACACCAGCAGCAGCAACACCAGCAGCAGCAACACCAGCAGCAGCAACAACAGCAGCAGGAGCAGCAGAAGAGCAGCAGAAGAGAAGGAAGACAAGATGGGCAAGGGTATGTCTTTGCGGTGTATATACACCACACATATCTTGCATGCACAGCTCATCTAGCATGACTTGCATTTGGTGCTGCTGCTGCTGCATTTGCTGCTGCAGCTACTGCTGCCGCCGCTGCATTTACTGCTGCTGCTGCTGCTGCATTTGCTGCTGTTGCTGCTGCTGTGTCTTTCTTGTGTGCAGGATGGCCCAGGAGAGACGGAGGGTGCCGCACCTGCTGCTGCTGGTGGTGCTGCTGGTGCTGCTGCTGCGGCTCCTTCTACTGGTGAGGCAGCAACAGCATCTGGTGGATCCCCAGAAGCAGCAGGAGGAGGAGCAGCAGCAGCAGCAGGAGGTACAAAAGGTATAAAGCTTCCTTTTAGTGTACAAGCAGCAGCAGCAGCAGCAAGAGAAGCATTAGAGAAAGCAAAGAAAGCAGCACAACTGCAGCGGCAGATACAGGAGCAGCTACGTCAGCAGCAAGCAGCAGCAGCAGCTGCAGCAGCAGCAGCAGTAACAGCTGCAACAGTACCATCCCTAGCAGCAGCAGCAGCAGCAGGACAAACAACAGCAGCAGCAACAGCAACAGGAGCAATAACAGGAACAGGAGCACCAGCAGCAGCAGGAGCACCAACAGCAGGTCCATCTGCTGCTGCTGCTGCTGCTGCAGCAGCAGCAGCAGCAGCAATAGCAGCACAACAGATAAAAGCAAGTACAGGTAGTATAACAGCAGGAATAGGTTCATCATTATTACCTCATGAATTAATAATATTGCATGCAAAACAGCAACAGCAGCAGCAGCAGCAAAGGAAGCAGCAGCAGCTGCAGCAAGAAGAAGAAGAAATAAAAAAAAAAAAAAAAAAAATTTTTTTTTGATGAATTAGGGAGAGAAATAGATGATAAAGGAAATTTAATACAAAAGAATTTCTTATCTACTCTTAAGATTAATAGAAGGCAGCAGCAGCAGCAGCAGCAGCAGCAGCAGGTAGGATTTGCTGCTGTTGTTTCTGTTGCTGTTGCTGTTGCTGTTGCTGCTGATGCTGCTGATGGCGGTGGTGGTTGTGGTGTTTAGTAGTGTAGGAGGTTTGCTGCTGCTGTTGCTGCTGTTACTATTGCTGCTACTATTGCTTTTGTTGTTGCTGCTGCTGCATGTGCTGCTGCTGCTGCTGCTGCTGCTGCTGCTGCTGCTGCAGGGGACTGAAGGTGTATATGAGGACATAACGAGTGCTCCTTGGTATGATCCAACCATAGAAACTAAAACAGCAAGAAATCAGGTATTGCTGCTGCTGCTGCTGCTGCTGCTGCTGCTGCTGTTGCTGTTGCTGCTGTTGCTGGTGGTGGTAGTAATACTACTGCTGCTGATGCTGCTGCTGTTGTGGCTAGTATGGATGTTCCTGCTGCTGCTGCTACATCTGCTGCATCTGCTGCTGCTACATCTGCTGCATCTGCTGCTGCTGCTGCTGCTGTTGCTGCTGTTGCTGCTGCTGCTGCTGCAGCGTAAGAGGAAAGCATTAGAGTTTTTACCTAAAGGGCATTATGTAAGAATAGAGGAAAGTATGTTATCCTTCCAGCGGCAGCAGCAGCAGCGGGAAGCAGCAGCAGCAGCAGCAACAACAGCAGCAGCAGCAGCAGGAGATATTAAAAAAGAAATTACACCCGAAGAAAAACTTGATGCTGCTGCACCAGATATAGCTAGAATATGGGTAAATTGCTGCTGCTGCTGCTGCTGCTGCTGCTGCTGCTGCTGTTGCTGCTGCTGATGGTACTGATACATCTGCTTGTGTAGTTGTTGCTGTTGTTGCTGCTGCTGTTGCTGCTGCATCTGCTGCTATAGCTGCTATTCCTCCCGTCGCTCCTGCTACATCTGCTACATCTGCTGCATCTGCTGTTGCTGCTGCTGCTGCTGCTGCTGCTGCTGCTGCTGCTGCTGCTGCTGCTGCTGCTGCTGCTGCTGCTGCTGCAGCTAAGTGATTGTCCTTCTATAGAGCCATGGGATGTTTTCTTATTTACTAAAACACCAGAGGGAACTTTTATACCTAAACTTGTAAGAAATAAATAAATAAATAAATAAATAAATAAATAAATAAATAAATAAATAAATAAATAAATATATAAATATTCTAGTTAAATTAATATTATATTATATAATTTTATCTTTCTTATATATTATATATATAATAAGAAAGATAAGAAAAAAAGGAAAAAAGATGAAAAAAAAAATAAAAAATAATTATTTATTTTTTTCTTTTTTTTTTCTTTTTTTTTCCTGTATAGGATAAAATAGATAATTTAGTTGAACATCCAGCACCTCTTATTGTACAAACAACAGGAAATACAATTGTTAATATGTATCTTACTCCTAAAGAAAGGTAAGGGTTTAGTGTTTAGGGTTTAGGGTTTAGGGTTTAGGGTTTAGGGTTTAGGGTTTAGGGTTTAGGGTTTAGGGTTTAGGTGGTGTCTATGTGTGGCTTTCTTCAATATTTGTTGGATGAACACTTTAGAGGAATTCTTGCAGATTTGAAGGGTTTAGGGTTTAGGGTTTTCGGGTTTAGGGTTTAGGGTTTAGGGTTTAGGGTTTGTGGTTTAGGAAGAAACTCCGACGGAGAAAGAGGCAAGAAAGAGAAAAAGAAAAACAAGATAAAATAAGAATGGGTAAGTAACCTTTTATTCAGCTGTATAAACCCTAAACCCTAAACCCTTGAGGGTTTAGTCGGAACAAGTGTTTTATGAATTAGGGTTTAGGGTTTACGTGTATGTACAGGTCTTATGCCTCCTCCTCCCCCTAAATGTAAACTCAGCAACTTAATGAGGGTTTTAGGCGATGTTGCTGTCGCGGTAAGAAACCCTAAACCCTAAACCCTAGCGGCAAACACCAGCTTTAGCTAACCCTTGTACACTCTTTATCCCCACTCAGCTCCCCTTCTAGGGTTTAGGGTTTAGGGTTTAGGGTTTACGATTTGGGGGTTTAGCCATCATCATGCACATGTCTCAACTTGTTGTTTTCTTCTTTCGTCTTTTATTTTTCGGTTTTAGGGTTTAGGGTTTAGGATTAATTAGGGTTTAGGGTTTACTAGGGTTTAGGGTTTAGGGTTTAGGGTTTAGGGTTTATATACAGGATCCATCAAAAACAGAGAAAAAAGTTCGTCAGCAAATGGCGGAGAGGTTGGAGGCTCACGAGAAAAGAAATAATGATAGAAAATTAACTAAGGCAGAAAAAAGTAATAAAAATATTAATAAATGGAGGGTAAACCCTAAACCCTAATTTTACCCTAAACCCTAATTTTACCCTAAACCCTAATTTTACCCTAAACCCTAAAACCTAAGACCCTAAGCAGACCGTACACTACGACACTGTGGATAAACGGATATGCACCAAACCCTCAAACAAGCACAGCTCGCCATTTAGGGTTTAGGGTTTAGGGTTTAGGGTTTGTTCCTTTATGGCAAGGGTTTAGGTTTTAGGGTTTAGGGTTTAGGGTTTAGGGTTTATGTGTGGTTTTTCAGCTGAAGCAACAAAACAATTGCAGCGTTGCTGTCTTTAGGATTAAATCATTGGCGAATAAACGTCATCTATTTAAGGTATATATAAACCCTAAACCCTAAACCCTAAACCCTCCCTAATAGCAGCAGCAGCAACAGGGGAGTTAATGATTGCTGGTGTTATAGCTTTTGATGTTTATGTATGTATAGAGGAAACCTTTAAATCAAGGGTTTAGGGTTTAGGGTTTAGGGTTTGTTGTTTATTTAGGTGGATACAAACGCTAAACAATTTCATGTTACGGGGGTTTGTGTTATTCCTCCACAACCAGCATGGGCTGTTGTTGTCTTTGAAGGTAAGGGTTTAGGGTTTAGGGTTTAGGGTTTAGGGTTTAGGGTTTAGGACGTTTGTTGTAATAGAATGAGGGTTTAATGTTGCCTCAATCATGTTTTAGGGATTTTTAGGGTTTAGGGTTTAGGGTTTTCTAGGATTTAGGGTTTAGGGTTTAGGGTTTAGGGTTTATGTATTCAGGGTCTCATAAATCCATAAAAAGACTTCGTGCTTTAATGGAGAGAAGAATTAAATGGGCAGAAACAGAATTAGGCACAAAGCCAATGACAAATGTAAGGGTTTAGGGTTTAGGGTTTAGGGTTTAGGGTTTAGGGTTTAGGGTTTACGGTGTGTCTTTCGGGTTGTACTGTTACTCATTTTTTGCTCTTTTTTTTAATTATTTAATTTATTTAATTTTATTTATTTATTTATTTATTTATTTATTTATTTATTTATTTATTTATTTATTTATTTATTTATTTATTTTTTGGACTCTGATGATGATGGGGATGGAGGAGGAGATGTTGATGGTCATTGCAGTCTATGTTGGCAGGTAAGAAACCATAAACCCTAAACCCTAAACCCTAAAAGCTCTAGCAATAAATAAATAAATAAGTAAACCCTATTTATTTATTTATTTATTTATTTATTTATAGGGAACAAATACAAGTCCTAGTTTCTCTAGTTGGAAGATTCATAGGGTTAATTCAGATGCAGAGGCAAGAAGAATATTCAGAAATGTTCATGCTGTAAGATTAGGGTTTAGGGTTTAGGGTTTAGGGTTTGGGGTTTAAGGGACGGGGGGAGAGAGGGTTTGCTGATGTGGAAGGTTGCTACATCTTTCTCGATTATTAGGCCTGGTGCAACCCCTCTAGGGTTTAGGGTTTAGGGTTTGGGGTTTAGGGTTTAGGGTTTAGGGTTTAGGGTTTTGTATTATTTATACAGGAGCATTACTGGGAGACCGCGCAGAAATTCAGAGATGCGCGTCTCGATTACTAAACACTAACTATAAAAAGTTTGCTGCTGCTGCTGCTGTTGCTGCTGTTGCTGCTGCAGCATGAGCAGCAGCAGCAGCAGCAGCAGGAACGACGGCAGCAGCATTTGACGCAGCAGGATTTGCAGTAGCAACACAGGGAAGAGTAACAGTAACAGGAGAAGCAGCAGCAGCAGTTGCTGCTGCTGCAGCAGCAACTGCAGCAGCAGCAGCAGCAGCAGCAACAGCAGCAATATGTGTTATTATTATTGAGGGTTTGGTGTTTCCTTGTTTAGTACAAGAGGAAAGAAACCCTAAACCCTAATTGAGTGTTTTTAGGGTTTAGGGTTTAGTAAGCTTATTTACTAAACCCTAATAAATTATTTATTGGCGTATAAACCCTTTATTAACCCTTTATACAAATACCTGTAGGGTTTAGGGTTTAGGGTTTACGAGGAATATAAATAGTTATATATACAAAAATAAATAAATAAATAAATAAATAAATAAATAAATAAATAAATAAATAAGTAGTAAATAGTGTTTGTGTTAAACCCTAGAGGGTAGTAAACCCTCATTAAAAAATAGCAAACCCTAAACCCTAAAGAAAGGGTTTATATAAACCCTAGAAGAATATCCTTAAAAAGCCCTATACAACCCTAAACCCTAAACCCTAAACCCTAGGGTTTAGGGTTTAGGGTTTATCAAACCCTAAACCCTTCAAAGAACAAAATGGGGAGGATTTGTAGGCATAGGAGCGTAAACCCTAAACCCTAATAATAAACCCTAAACCCTAATAATTAACCCTAAACCCTAAACCCTAGAGAGAGGTACTCTGGCTGCAGCGCGAGCCTAGGGAGGATAGCAGGAGCGCATGCAGCAAATTTTGCTGCTCTTGCTGCAGCAGCAAGAGCTTGCTGCGGTTGCTGCAGCAGCAGCAGTACCTGTGCATACACCACAAGTGCTGCTGCTTCTTGTGTCCAATCAGT